GGAAACAGGCTCCAGGCTCCGAGCCATCAGCCCAGAGCCCGACGCGGGGCTCGAACTCACGGACCGCGAGATCGTGACCTGGCTGAAGTCGGACGCTTAACCGACTGCGCCACCCAGGCGCCCCTTTTTTTTTTTTTTTTTTAAGTAGGCTCCATGACCAACATGAGGCTTCAACGCTTGACCCTGAAATCAAGAGTTGCACCCTCTACCGACTGAGCCAGCCAGGTGCTCCTGTCCTTTATTCTATCAATATGGTCTACCATATTAATTTTCAGATTTTTTTAAGTTTTTACTTATTTATTTAAGTAATCTCTACACCCAACATGGGGCTCAAACTCAGGACCCTGAGATCAAGAGTCACATGCTCTTACAACTGAGCCAGCCAGACGTGCCTTAATTTTCAGATTTTGAAGCAAACTTGAATTCCTAGGATGAATACTATGGTCATGGAATATAATTCTTTTTATGTTGCTGGATTTGGTTTGTTAGTATCTTGTTGATGACTTCTACATCTATATTCATAAGAGATATTGGTCAGTAGTTTTCTTTTCTTGTGATGTCTTTATTTGGTGTTGGCATCAGGATAATACTGGCCTCAAAGAATGAGCTGGTTAGTGTCCTCTCTTATATTTTGTAAGAATTCTTGGGAAGAATTGGTATTAACTCTACTTTCTATGTTTGACAGAATGAACCAGTGAAACCATCTGAACCTAGGCTTTTCTTTGTGAGTCATTTCTTATTACTAATTCAATCTCTTGACCCATTATGGATCTATCCAAATTTCCCATTTCTTTTTTTTTTTTAATGTTTATTTAGTTATTTTGAGAGAGAGAGCACAAATAGGGGAGTGAGAGAAAGAGAGAGAGAAAGGGAGAGAATCGCAAGCAGGCTCCACTCTGTCAGCGCAGAGCCCAACGCAGGGCTCCATCTCACAAACAGTGAGATCATGACCTGAACCGAAATTGAGAGTCAGACGCTTACCTGCCTGAGCCACTCAGATGCCCTAGATTTCCTATTTCTTCAACTATTATTTTAACAATCACTTATGATCTGGCAACCTCACTATGGCACAGGTAGTACCTTGTACTCCCAAATAGTGAAACTCTTGACTCACTCACTTCAATTACAATTCTTACATTGCTGACAAGGAAACTGAGGTTATGTGACTTTTAACAATCTGTCCTGATCTCAGAGAGCCAAGCCTACACTGAACTCCCTCACCTTCTTCTTAGATGCATTACTGGTTGCTAATATTTTCCCAGCATTTCCTCATGAACAAATGTGGTAGCAGGTAAGGTGAACAACAAGGTCATGTGCTCTGGTGACAAAGAAACACGAAACCATAGAAACATTTTACCACTACCTTGAGTGATTTGATGAATTGCTCCACACTCCCTCCTGCCAGCAACTTGTCCTCCTAGTCCAGCACATATTCTACGTAACATGTGCAAGTTTTCAAAAGGTGCCATATCTGTCACCCTCTTCTTATGTACTCAAAAATACTAAGGCAAAATAATGAGACTGCAGTCTGGAATCACACCCTCTATCTGTGTATCACTGACAAATTTTTCAACCTTTCTGCACTTCAGTTTCTTGCCCATAATGTAGAGATAACAATAATATCTACACCAAAGAGTTGTTATACGTATATAATACACCAAACATATACTATACATAATATACACACAATATATACAATATAATATACAAATAATACATGTACAAGTGTTTGAAACAATACCTGGCACCTTTATGTATGATATCAAAGTAAATCATGCTGCCAACAAAACACACACTTGATTTTACTCTATAAAATAGTTCCAGGAGTACAATTTCTATACTCTGTACATTAGAATATAAGCTCTAAGAATTGAAATTACATAGGAGATGACATGAGAATAATAAATGTCTCCATTCTCAAGGAAATCAACCTGCAGAAGAAACAATGGAAGGAAGGGAGAAGGTAGAGCATCATAATTAAAAGCACAGCCTCTGGAATCCAGCGGACCTATGTTCAAAATCTGACTCCACCTTACATTGGCTGTTACCTTGAACAAGACACGTCTCTAAGCTTCTGTACCCACTGGTAAATGGGGAAAAATAATACTAACCCTAAGGAGTTTTGATCAGGATGAAGGCATTATTTGTAAGTACCTGGCACACAATAGCCACCTAATAAACAGAAACCACTTTTATTAGTTTTCTTAAATTTCATTTTAATAAACAAATTTGATTAACAAGTAAACAACTAATATGGAAACAAGGACCTGATGTTGATCCAAGAGTTCCCAATGCTGGCTACATATGTGACTCACCTGGAAAGCTTTGTAAAAGTCAGGTTGCCTACACGGCACCTAAGACAAACAGAATTATACTCTCCGAGGCTGGGGCCTGGGCATCAGTACTTTTATTTTTTTAGATTTTTAACATTTTTATTAAAAAAAAAATTTATTATTTTTAAGAGCATGAGCGGGAAGTGGCAGAGGGGGGTGGGGGGGGACAGAGGATCCCAAGGGGGCTCTGTGCTGACAGCAGAAAGCCCGATGGAGAGCTCGAACTCATGACTCATGAGATCATGACCCGGGCCGAAGCCAGATGTTTAACTGACTGAGCCGCCCAGGCATCCCTAATGTTTTTATTTATTTTTGAGAGAAACAGACAGACAGACAGACAGACACAATGTGAGCAGGGGAAGGGCAGAAAGAGAGGGAGACACAATCTAAAGCAGACTCCACGCTCTGAGCTCTCAGCACAGAGCCCGACGCAGAGCTCAAACTCATAAACCGGAAGATCATGACCTGAGCCAAATTTGGACACTCAACCAAGTGAGCCACCCAGGCAACCCTGGAAATCGGTAATTTTAAATGCACTCCAGGCAGGAGCGCCTAGGTGGCTCAGTCGGTTAAGCATCTGACTTTGGATTAGGTCATGATCTCACAGTTCATGAGTTCAAGCCCTACATCGGGCTCTCTGCTGTCAACACAGAGCCCGCTTCAGATCCTCTGTCCCCTCTCTCTCTCTCTCTGCCTCTCCCCTGCTCACTCTCTCTCTCAAAATAACATTAAAAAATAAATAAAATTAAAAAATACATTCACTATAGGCAATTTCAATGTGCAGCTTGGAGTGAGAACCATAACAGCTAGCTAGAAAAGAAGTGCTGATTTTTTATCAACTGAAACTAATTTTACTGATTAACATCTACTCTTCTTATGAAATAAGCCCATCAGATCTGCCCTCTCAAATGAGAATTATTATTATCTGATGGTGAAATGGAAGCTAAAAGAATCTGAACAATTTATTTCTGGGAGAAGCAGAGAGCCAGGTTTAAAACTCCAGTCAAGCCCTGAAGCCCATACCTCTTACTCAGATGCACTTCTAACGACTACTATTTCCTCAGCATGACTACAAACCTAGTCATGACATTCTCCTCATTTAAATCCTTTAACACACTTACCCCCTTAGAATAAAATCCAGTCTCCTTAACAGGAACACCTCTCTTCAGAATGTGGCCCAACAATGTGCGTGGTGAGAATGAGTCACATACATTTGGATGGCTCTGGTGCTGGTCTGAACAGCCAAACCACTAACCACCCAAGGGGACACTGCTCAATCTCAGTGGCCGGTCAACTTGCCCAACAGGGAACGGTGTTAACACTAAAGAACGCAATGGGAACGGTGGCCCCTGAAGTTGTACAACATGGCAAGACTGCTGGCCTTGTTTTTCTTTCTAGCCTCCTCTTTCTCTGATCCCTTTTTTCCCCTCATTCTCTGTCCCTTCTCTCACTCTATCACCTTTAAACACGCTTCTCCCTCTGCATGGAATACTGGTTCCTACTTCTGCAGACTTCAATGTAAATGTCACTTCATGGAGGAAATCTTTTCCACCACCACTACTACCACACTGTCCCACTCCAAGTTAGATGCACCCCTGGGTCTCCTACGGTGCCCCATAGTTCCCCATCAGCATTCTCACACATCAGTGCTACTGAGTGCAGGGACCAATGCTGATCTTGCTCACTAACTTCCCCCACCTAGAAAGTGCCTGATGTATGGCGGCTTGAGGAGGAGCCTAGAGGCAACATGGAGAAGTTACTCTGTAAGTGTCTCACAACAAAAGGTTACTCTCCTAACTCAGGTCTCACGTTCCACCTCCCTCAGGGGAACTCCATGGGCAATGTCAAAAATCGTTGAATCTGGGTATTGCATATACGATGATGTATTCTTCCAATTTTTTAAATAAGTTTGATATTTTTCATATAAAGCTTTTAGGGAAAAAAATAAAGTGAGTGCTGTCTGCACCCCTAATCCTGCCTTTCTTGCTATTATTTAGCTATAGGATACCCACCAGCAACCTGTCACCATCATTTTCCTACCATCTGATGGCAGGGCCATCAGGCAAAGACAGTACAAACCTACTGGCAGTCTGAGAAAGTAGTAAAGAACCCTAGGGTCAGCCAACAAAAAGCAAGAAGCTTTTGCCAAAAGCCAGATACTGGATTGCAATGAAATGCTAGGACTCCATCAATTTCCTTTTACCACCTTTCCTACAGGAGAGCAGAATTGCTGTTCAGGCCTAAAAACAGGAAGAAGAAAAGGATGCTCAAAAGAATGAGCAAGCTGCAGAAGAGAGTAAAGTGGTGATCTATTAAGTCAGGGGAGCTGGGTTATATAAATTCAGCTGGCTCTGGTGCCGGCCTAGTAGCCAAATCACCAACCAGCCAAGCAGGCTCAATTCCAGCAGCTACCTAACGTGCACAAGAGAACAATGTTAACACTAAAGAAAAAGCCCCCAATCACGACAGTCATTCCCAAAGGTCTGTGTACCATAAACAATTCTTTCTAGAAAATGCTGACAAGGATATTAACTTTTCAAATTCAATAGATGAAGGAAACAGAACCAAACCCCTCATATTCTATCCCCTGTTCCATCACGGACATCCCTGAGGCAAAGGACTGTGATGTCAGTGCAGCTGACCTAAGCTCTGACACTTGCCATTTACCTCTTGCTGCTTCTCCTCATTGGGGTACGTGTCTACAAATACTCCCAGCCCCACAAATTTGTCCATGTTTCCAAACACAGGCCCTAGAGAGAGAGAAGAGATGATGAACAATGAAATAAAGCCAAGAGTTGATAAAGGAATAATATATCACTATGATGGAGGAAAAAGTAAAATTCAAATGACTGACTCCCAGGCCTCTTTTTAAGAAGAGAAAACATATGTAAAAGCACCCAGCAAAAGTGCATGGCCTGTAACAAGCACCCAACAAAATCTGTAGCTGTTTGGTATTGAAGGCAGGGGAAGAGAGAAGGCCACTGCAACGTTGTTTATCACCACAGCTGCTCCCTGGTCCAAACTGGTTGCTAAGGCGCCCCTAAAGAATTCTGCTTCACGAACGCTTGGTGACAACTATGCCCCTGAGAGAGAGCTGAATTCCCAAATTCCACTTCTTGTTGCAAAAGAGATCAGGTCAAATCAGGTTGAGTTTGCCATGTCCTTGGAGCAATGGCTCCCACACAACTCCTGACTCAAGGAGTTCTAAGATCATACAATGCACATGCTCAAAAGAAATCAGCTCACCCAATCGGCAGTGCTCTGGAAAGCCAGCACTTTCACCCGGCCAACAGGCCACGTGGCCTCAAAGGGAAACCGGAAGGAACTAATAAGCAAGAAATTGTCCCAGGATGAGTCAAGTTCAACTGCTTTACCAGGAGTCAGACCCCATTCTAGAGACTAGATAGGCCAGTCTTTATCCACAGACATCAAGGGAGTGGCAAACTGCTGGCACTGTGGGTACATACCCTTCTCCAAAAGAGGGCATGTGAGAAAGCAGGCCTGTCACACCCCACACAAGAGCAACCCAGGGTCCCAATACCTGGCTGCATCCGATCCTTTGTGTACCAGATTGCCAAGCCATCCCCATGCAGATTCTTCTTCCCTTGTCCATGGATTCTGAAGTGTACCTGCAACTCCCAGTCTCTCAGGAAACATGGCTGAGGAGAAAAAGACACTGGAATCAATGAAGAGTGTGAAATGTGAAACCCCTCAAAGCCCTCGCCAGCAGTCTAGAGACTGGGAAAACACAAATGAAGGTAACATAAGGTGAAGGGTTGAAACTGAAATCTATGACTTGCTAAGTGCTAAAATTAAACAGGTTGAGCTGTTCAACTGTATATGATATTTAATATGGAAAGTGAATAAACCTCCCAATTATCCTCAGTATCTCCTAATAGAAACAGGATAGTACTCAAATTTGAAAAGACAAGAGACTGCCAAGTTAGACTACTGTGATCCTACAGCAAAGCATCTCAGCCTATAGAGTACAGGTGGCTGAAGTGACACTCATTTGCAACTTGAGCTCACACCTCTGACAGAAAGATTCTAAAAAGCCTGGATTTCAAGAAAGGTCAAAGCTTCATTCATTACAGAAAATAAAAAAAGCTAAGCCATTATACAAAGGTTTTCAGGACTAATTAGCAGATATGTGAACAACCCTAATTAGCTAGACTTGTCCTTATGCCAAGCTGAGGGGCAAGCCAGAATTCCCCAAGAAGGAGTAAGTTACAGTCTCCCAAAACATCATGCCCATGATCAAGAGGCATAAATGCACCAAAGGAGACCACCATCCCCATCACAGGGACAGCTTTTGGTGGAAACATGGAGGTGGGTACTAATCAGACTCCTGTGTTTCTTGGGGTTTATTTTGTTTTTTTCTTGAATTGTGTACCAAAAGCTTGCAAAAATGCAGAAGGAAGTAAGTGGATGGTTAAGTGCTCTAAATAGTTGAACACTTTCAAGAGAAAGCAGAGTAGGTATCTGGTTTAGAGAGGCTCCTAATTAAAGGTCACTATGAAGAAAGAAAGGACGGAGGAGCAGATAGACCAGCAGGGTTCAGGCAGAGTCTCTCCAAATAGATTGTTCTGGCTCTTGAGCAACATACTGCTAGATCATTTTTAGTATTCATTTTTAATTTCTGGGAAATCTTCCAAAAGTGTTAGTATTAGGAATACACAGTCAAATGAAAGGGGTGAGGTTACTTCTGAATTCACCAAAGAACCTGTAACTCCAATAGCTTACCCTACCCTAATGATCCCAGTCCCTGTGTTGTCATTCTGTGTTCTCCTCTTTCTGTTCTTGCACTTAGATATCAAGACAAGAATGAAATTCAGTGGCAGGAAGCTCCCCCATAGCCAGTGGGTATTATCCCCCTGGGACAAGGGCAGGGCCAGAGAAGTTCACACTGAGCCAAGAGGTATCTGCTACTTATCCTCGGTCTCCTCTAGCACAGTGCCACACACTTTTGCTCAGGGCTATGTCTAGCACTGGTTCTGAAACTTGGCTATACATTAGATTCACCTACGGAGTTTTTAAAAATTCCCATGACCACAGGCATCAACTCCAATAGACAGCCAAATTTGAGGACCACTGTTCAAACAAACACATCCTATTCAAATAACTCAGAAACAACCCCAAAGCTCATTCTGATAGATAACAACAACAACAACAACAACAACAACAACCCACAGTATCAGAGAATCTGAAAAAGGGCAATATAACTAGATCCTAAACTAGAACGGCTGCTAAAAGAGTTATGTAGAAGCAGCTAGCAAGACAGCAGCAAAGTATCAAGCTCTAGACATAATCGTTTAGTAACCCAGAGACCTCATCAATGAAACTTACATGTAACAGATACATAATGTAACAGGGCACATTTCTGTAACCATTTTAACTTTCTAAGGCTCTTTCATATCTATTGTCTTATTTTATTCTCCCGATAACCCTAGTGGGCATGTAGAAGGTATTATGAAGCTCATTTGGCGGATGGAGAAACTGAAAACAATTAAGTAACAGCCAAGGGCTCACAGTGGATCTGTGATACAGCTAGATCTAAAACCTAATCAAGGCTGTCAACTGCCAGCCTTTTGCTTCTTCTACCAGAACACATCACCCTGCACTCTGTCCAAGAACAAGAGCAACACTACAATCTGGGTTAAGAGGCCAGCTTGTGCAAACAGCTCGTGTAGAAACTTCTCTTAACCCTCTGCTCTGTTAGAATTCTTTGCCACATAAAATGAGCAGGGAAAAGAGATAGTTCTTTTTTCTGAGGTTCACTTATCTATAATCAATGGAAAAAAAAAAAAACATGAAAAAGTAAGTTCTTAGCTTATGAGAATCCAAGAGAAAGTATTAAAGGATGCCAAGGTCATTCCCAAGAGTAAAGGGGTTGTAAAAGACTTAGAAAGAGCCCTGGAAAGCAAAAAGAAAGCATCATCTTACACTTATACAAAATCACAGTGCAGCCACACCAGGAATACTGCATTCACTTCTTGCCGCCATACCTCAAGGAAGACAACGTAGCTAGAAAAGGTCCAGAGAAGGACAAAAAAAAAAAAAAAAAGACCAAGGGCTCAAAGTGGCTTTCACATGAAAATAAAATTTAAAATTAAACTCTTCAACGTGAAATAGCAAGGGCGAATCCTGGGATGAAATTTAGGATACATTTAAAAGAGCAGTCTTCTACTTTACAAAGTAACTAAATGTGAGTTATTAAGAGTTATTAACCTCCAAGAAGTAATACTATCAGGTCAATAGGGAATTAAAGATACTTCAGAAAACAGAATCAAAATGGATTATTTCCTATAACTGGGGCAATCAAGAGCATTTCCCTACATATCTGATACCATTATGAAGGTCATCATATTCTCTGAAAAATTCCTGAAATCCACAGAAGACAGAACCCTGGGGATAGACAGTAAAATTAAGTCAATATGCCACTGGTGAACTTTTTAGGACTTTGTGGGTCAGCGACACAGGAGGGAGAAAGATTCTTACCACCCGGTTCCACAGGGCACCCTGTTTACTTTGCATATCTGGGGTAAGGCGGATATATTGGGTCATCACCATGGCATTGCCCATCAGATTCCACAGTGAGGAACTGCCTGTGCCCACACCTACAGGGAGGAAGTAGATCAGTTCATACTCTTCAGCACCAACCCATTCAGAAACCACCAAGGACCATCCTAAAGCTGGAGTCATCATCTTTTGCTACCTTTCCCGACACTCAATCTCCTATCTCTGTCACTCATAAATCTCAAATCCTTACCACCTTGACAGCTTCCTTTTCACAAAGCCCTTCTCAGGTGAAGACATCACAGCTATCACTTTGTCCATGCCGCAAAAACCACAGCTCAAACCCATTCCTCCCATTTTATACTTAAGTAAACTTTAGCACCATTAAAAAAAAATTTCCCCAGTTCTACCAAAAAGAGCTTGACCCTCAGGCCTCTGGTGCTTAATCACATTATTTCTTTCAACAATTGAAGTGTGAAGGTACTGCTCCCAGGACCTCAGGCTATACACCTCATGAAAGTGATAATTTTTGTGTCAGTGAGACAGCACAGATGAGGCACCTGAAGCATCTGATGAGTTAATAAATGATCACTTAGCAGCCGTGTACACACTTGCACTTTGAGTTTTTGTCTGCTGTCCCACACTCCAGTGGGGAAACAGACTTGTGTTTCTGCACTGATTTGGTCTTCTTTGTAACTTAACTAATATAAATCTTTTGGTTGATGAGCTGTGCCTAAAAGTCTATGAGCCCCAAACAGAGCAGCCTCTTTGATCAACAGGGCTCCTGGACTGGAGAACAGGTGTTTTAACCGGCAACAGAATTTTATCTTCTTTCTCAGTCCAGCCAAGTTCTACCCGAGTTCTGCCTCCTGCTTTATTTCTAGCACATCCACAACTCCATCCGGAGACCTGCTCTTTGCTAGTGGCCTTCAATCACTTTCCACCATTTGCAGTTCCATCCTTCCCACATTCCTCCTATCGAACTCCCCTTTGTCCAGGCCTAGAGCTTGTGGCATCCGAGCCCGGCTTTGACCTGCTGTAAACTTCCAAAACAGGGTCGGGGGAGGAGGGGAGCTGACCCCTGCCCTTGCGACCCGTGGTTCCCAAACGCGGCGAAGTCCCCGTGGGCCCTCACCCACCGCCGGCAGTTTCCTTAGGGCCACTAAGCCTTTCACCACCCCGGTCTCTACCGATGAGCTCAAGTCCGGAAGCCCTCCCCGTGCACGACCACCTCGCCCGGGGTGCCTCACCCTGGTAGGGCTTCGACAGCGAGTGTTCCCGTTTCAAGTACTCGAAGGTTTGACCCGCCCCGACTTGCCGTGGCCCCTGCCCAGACCCCAACAAAAGGAGAAGGAGCAACATCCTGGACCCATTCCAAGCCGACAAACGCCGCCGCCACCGTTGCCACCACCCAGAGGGTCCCAGAGTCGCCGCCATCTTTCCCACTGCCGTCCCTTCATTAAAAGCCCGCCCCGTTGCCCAAGCCATTAGCCCAGAGAACCATCTGCCCCGCCTCCCATTGGCTCTCGTCGAGCCCCCGCCCCCGCAGGTGAGCATCTCACCGATTGGCTGGCTTCGAGATCAGTTGCCTTGCCAACCTAGGGAGGGGGAGTGGCCTAATGCCTGGAGTCCCTTATTGGCGTTTGTCCTGCGGTCCACTAGGCCTGCTGGGATACGTAGTGATTTCCATTTTGTCTCAGCATTCTAGAGTAAATTTAAAGAGATAAAATGTTTCTCCCAGTTTCACACAGACGTTCTATCCTCTCTGCCATAGTACCTTCGTGTCTATGCGGAGTTATCCGTCAGGATGTAAAACTGAAAGGAGAAATAGACAAATCCACAATTACTGTAACTGGGCAATTATTAGGAAAACTATCAAATTTATAAAAGACTTTGAACACAACAAAGAACTTGACCTGATGACATTTATAGAAACTCCACTCAACAACAGCAAAAGACACATTCTCTTCAAGTGCAAAAGAAACATTTACCAAGATAGCCTGGGCAAAACAAAACAAACACCTCCACAAATTTAGCAGAAATGAAAGCACACAAAGGATGTTCTATCATGATGGAATTAAGCTAGAAATAACAACTGAAAGATTTCTGGGAAATCCTCAAATATTTGGAAATTAAACAACTCACTTCTTTAAAAAAATTTGTTTAATGTTTATTATTATTTTTTAAGAGAGACAGAGTGTGAGCAGGGGAGGGCAGAGAGAGAGGGAGACATGGAATCTGAAGTCGGCTCCAGGCCCCTTAAACAACTCCTAAATAACTCATAGAGGAGTAGGAAGTACTGAAGGACTGTAGTGAGTCTTCTAAGAAATGGAACAGGATTATCAATCCTTTACCTGGGTGGCACAGCAGGACACACAGGACCTGAAACCAAAAGAGTGAGGTTCAGGGGCACCTGGGTGACTCAGTTGGTTGAGCGTCTGACTTAATTTTGGCTCAGGTCATGATGGCATGGTTTGTGAGTTCAGCTCAGGTCGTGATCTCACAGTTCATGAGTTCAAGCCCCACATCTGGGTCTGTGCTGACAGTGTGGATCCTGCTTCAGATTCTCTCTCCCTTTCTCTCTGCCCCTGCTCCACTCATTCTCTCCGCCCCTCTCTCAAAAATAAACATTAAAAAAAAAAAAAAGTAGGGTGCCTGAGTGGCTCAGTCTGTTAAGCATACAACTTCGGCTCAGGTCATAATCTTGCAGTCCATGAGTTCAAGCCCTGCATTGGGCCCTGTGCTGACAGCTCAGAGCCTGGAACCTGCTTCAGATTCTGTCTCCCTCTCTCTCTGCCTCTCTCTCTCTCTCTTTCTCTCTCTCTCTCAAAAATAAATCAACATTAAAAAAAAAAAACAACAGAGTGAGGGTCATCCAGCTTCCCACCTTTTCCTCACCATTTCCATCACCCAACCAATAAATAATTATTTTATTGCTAATTATTTCACAAAGCCATCACATCCTTTTCATCCCCTGCTTTGTCTGTCTCCCAAACCACAACTGTTATTCTGGTCACCATCATCCACATGGTCCCCCAAGTAAACCATCTAGCCATGTCATTTCCTGAATGTCAGGGTTAAATGAGTTGATACTGGTAAAGCTCTTAGAGCAGTGGCTGGCATGTAGTAAGCACTATATCATCATCATCATTATTATTAACGGAGCCCTTGTTGGTTCCCATCATCTGTGGGGAAAAGATTCAAGCCCCTCAACTTGGCAAACAAAGCCCTCTGCCACCTTTCTCTGGCTTTATTACCCACAGCTTCCTTTCTTCATCTTATCTGCCAGCTTTCCCTCTTCCCTCTCCTTTTCCACAGCCCACTTCCTCCTAGAGGCTTTCCCTGACTTCCTCAGGCAGTGGCAGTTGCCCCACTCTGAGCTCTCAATGTTCCCCAAGCACATTTCTTACAGAGCACTCACCAGTTCTGTCTCTGTCTTCCCAATAAACTTAACCAAAGTTAATTCTCTCTTTCCTGAACATAAATATATTTAATAAGAGAAACATGAATGTAAGCCTGTTTGATATTTAATATTTAAAATTAAAACTGTCACAACCATCGGGGCACTGCCTGGCTGCGTCAGTGGAACACGTGATGCTTGATAGTGGGGTTGTGAATTTGAGCCCCACTTGGGTGTAGAGATTACTTAAAAATAAAATCTAAAAAAACAAAAACAAAACCCAAAAAACTGTTACAACCACTGATCATTTATAGACTCCACACAAAGTAGATATTTGGTATTAAGATATAAGGAATTGCAATGAATCTATTTGCGTCATACCCTAGCTTTAAAACCATTCATGGATATCAATTATCATAGGATAAAATCCAAATGCCTTAATGTAGCATTCAATGCCCTTCAACTTGACTCAAATCAGCCTGTACACACGTCAATTACAATGTGTCACCCTGAATTATGTGGCTCAATTAGCAAATTATGTGTTTGTCTCCCTGGCAAGGCTGGGAGCTCCTGGACCACAGGAAGCAGATCTTACTCATTTCCTATCATAGGCCCTACCCGCTTCCCCATTCCCTAACCCATCACCCAGCACGTAGTAGGAATTCCAATTGTTTTGAATAAAATTATTTCCATTATATTTCTGTCAGTTGGAATTGTTTTATTGTAATAAATATACATAAAATAAAATTTACCATTTTAACCACTTTTAAGTATACAGTTCAGAGGCAGTAAATACATTTACATTGCTGTGTGACCTATCTACTGGATTTTTTTTAATGTTTATTTATTTTTGAGAGAGACAGACAGAGTGCAAGTGTGGGAAGGGCAGAAAGAGAGGGAGACACAGAATCTGAAGCAGGCTCCAGGCTCCGAGCTGTCAGCACAGACACCCGACGCAGGGCTCGAACTCACAGACCACAAGATCATGACCTGAGCTGAAGTTGGACGCTTAACCAACTGAGTCACCCAGGTGCCCCTCTACTGGATTTTGGATAGAGTATCTCAGCATATCTTATTGTAAAATTCACTGTGATGAAGAAAAGGGAAATAAAGGAGAGTGTGTCAAAGACAAAATACACAGGATAATAATTCAGATGATTTTCTCCAAACTGTTGCAATAAGGAAAATGCTCATTAGTAAGTAACATATCAAAGAAAAGGAAAGGGGCCTGGTGTTTCATAGAGGCAGATAAACAAGGGAATCATCATGAGGAAGGATAGAGAGGGTTTTATCTGAGTCACTGAGGAAGGAAGGCAAAAGTGGGTCTTATCTCAGAATAGTCTAGAACAGGATAGTCCTTTGAAGATGAAGTTAGCCATTTCTCAGGACTCAAAATGGGATGAGAAGGGACACAAAAGGGTGAGGGGATTTTTTGACTGTAGCTGGTTTCCAGAAGTACAGGGTTCATATAAAATTCAATACTGTCAAGGTGTTGAGAGGAGGTGCAGGGAAACAGAAAAAGGAGCCATGTCTCCCTCCAACACCACGCAACACACATGTAGAGGCACCTTCTTATAGCCAGGTCAGGTCTTGACCATCTTTTAGATGCTTAATGCTTTCTTTTTTCTCCACAGAATCATCTCCCATGATCTAGGGCTGTATACCTCCAGCGTGGGGGCATTCACAGACAATGTGAGTTGTACATTCTAGCAGTTCTGGATGATGATTCCTCCACTTCCTTGTCTTCAAAGCCAAAGAGATACCTCCACTTAGGAGCCCCTTGAAACCTGATGCCCCTACCTCCACCCCATGTCAGAGGCTCCAAGGCAGCCTCTTGGCCCCATTCTTTCCTCTCCCCCCGCCCTTCCCTTTTTAACCTTCCCATTCTATTTAAATCCACTCCCACCCAAAACCTAGGACCCAAAGCAGGGCCTAACATCAACCCTCCCAAAGCCAGGTAGACCACTCTTCCCTGCTCAGATATCCAGGTAAGGATTTGGAATTAGGTCCATCATCAGCCCTAGGATGGCAGCTAACCCAGTCC